GGGCTGGGGTCATAGGGGGTGGTGCAGGGGGCTGGGTGTGAGGGGGGTGCAGGGATCAGGGCAGAGGACTGGGGGGTGGGCTGGGATCGGGGGGATGCTCCCAGCCCCCTGCCCTGAGCGGTTCTCGGCAGGGGGCTGGAGGGATATGCCCTGATTCCACTCCTCTTCCCCAAGGCCCCGCTCCTGCCTCTTCTCCGCCTCCTTCACGGTCTGAGCAGCGAAGGCGCTGGGGCTCCTCTTCTCCCTTCCCTCGCAAGGGCCATCGGTGGCAGGGAGGGAGAGGAGGCGGAGCACGACGCAGCACGCTGTGGGGAAAGAGGTGGGGGAGGGGGAAGCTTGGCTGCCGGCGGAGCCTGCCCTACAGCAGCAGCCGGCAGGACCAAGCTTGCTTCTGCCCCCTGCCCCCACCAGAAAGAGCGTTAGGTGCGGGGCAGAGAAGAGCGGGCTGGGCCGGGCAGGATTTTTAATGGCACGCTGCTGCCTGCCAGGGTCCCAGCCATCGGGCCCGCTCAGCCCGCTGCCGGGGTTTGGCAGCGGGCTAAGCGGGGTCAGCGGCAGCCGCAGCATGCCATTAAAAATCGGCTTGCGTGCCGTCTTTGGCACGCGTGCCATAGGTTGCCGACCCCTGGTTTAGATGTTAGCGATATCTTCAATGTGCTTCAAGAGAAGTTGCTCCAGACTCTGTCTACCAGAACTCAGGTGCTAACAGGAATAAAGCCTTTCAGTTAAGTTTTAACATGTATCCTGTAAATGACTTGGGTTCTTAAACTACTTTTATGATGCTGTTGAGTTTTTGTAAGCATTCTGCTTCACTATTAAGTGATGTTTTTGAACTGGTTCATATTCAGACATGATTGAACTAGTGGAACTGTATTAATAATTATCCTTGGCCAAAGTTGTCAGGCCTGGCTGTCAAAGGTAGGTTCCTAAATCCATAGTTAACTAAATAAAAGTGCCCAGATTTTTAGATGTGTGAGCATGGGCATCTCTCATAGATTTCCACAGGAACTGTGGGTGCTTAGCACTTCTGAAAACTTTAGGCAACTAAGCTTTAAAATTTTGGCCATTGATAAACAATAATTTTATTATTTATTTAAATACCAGCGTGCAATGGTGCTGGAACAGTTTTTTATAGTGGGGGTGCTGAAAGTGGAAACCATGTATTTGGGTTGTTATCACTACTTCAAGCCAAGGGGTGTGGCAGCACCCCTAGTTCTAGCCCCTGTGCCAGCACAGGGTATATACAGTGCTTTATTGTAAGAAAACAGCAGGCTTCTAAAACTCATTTCCTTCCCCCACCAGAATTTGTCATCCTAACGACTCAAACAGATATAGCATGAATTAAAAAAAAAAAAGTAACACAGATGAGCTGCAGGTTAATGTTGTCTACATAGATGCAGGACATACGAGTTTTAAGGAGTGGGAGAGTGTTTGGTGAATATTGACTGGGATGCTCTTCCAAGAGTACAGAAAGCATTGAAAAAATGAATGGAGACTAGAATGGGGCAAAGAAAACAGGGGAGGGACTTGAGGAAATTGTAGGGAGCAGGAGCAGGTTGTGGGAGAAAATTAGGACAGAGATATAAGCAGGAGCTGGATGGGTAGAGTGTTTTAAATGTGAGAACGAAAAGCGTGAACTGAATCTGGAAGAACAGGGAGCCAGTGCACTGATTTCAGAAGAAGGCCAACAAGAATATCATAGGTAACCATGAGCCTTTAAATGCTATGCTTTATTTCTCAAATTATAAAGCACAGCTAATTTGAGATTTGGAAATTCTGTGGGGCTTGTAATAATAGGGTGTCGGTGGTCACAGGAAACATACTCAGATATGAGCAAAAGGAATTGAAATATAAAAACAAAGGTTCAAGAGACCATGCATTTCAGGATATTACTGATGATCTAATCAGTGAACAGTTCTGAAAACATCTGTTGGGCTCACTCTACTGAGTCCTTGTTGAATACCATTGTGTTGAATAATTTTTCAGAGATTTGTTTTCCTTTTCTGTATTCAAACCATTTGTGAGAGATGGCATATGAGGTGATGAGAGATCCAAGAGAAATGCAGCCGAATGCCTGAAATTCAAGGAAGAATAACAAACTGATTGAGGAGAGGATTAAAGTCAAATATATAAACTCCTGGGTTTTGTTTATACTCTCTTATGCAATGCAGACCTGTCTCCAGAGAGTGGATTGCTGAGAATTGAGACATGCTGTGAGGGCTGTTTCTCCTTTCCTCTGAATGCTGTTTTCTAAAATATTTTTTTTAAATGAGCTTGTTTCTTTTCTACGCAGTATCATCTCTATTTTGGATGTTACCATCTCTCCTCCCTGCCCAAAATATTCTGATGGGTCATCAGTTCCTATATTCACTCTCCCCTCTCAATTGCTTTGTTTCTTTCTTCATTGGCTACTTGAAAGAGTATCTAGTAGTATATAATGAATCATGTTTATTACAGTAGTGCATAAGGACCAACCAAGAATAGGGCCCCATTGTGCTAGGCACTGTACAAACGCAGAGTACCAGACAGTCCCTGTCATGACTGATAGACAAATCAGACCTGACACAGGCCATTCAGAGTGAATATTTAATATTTGATCCATCCTCTTTTAACCGCTTCACTGCAGCAGACATTAGCAGAATTCTTTAAGAATCAACCTTTAACTTGCACTTCAACAGAGCCACACCAGGTATATAATGCAGATCCCAAGGTACCCAACATATATTTTCTGTTATGGAGCACTGAAAAGAGAACTGTTTATTTCTGTAGAGATACAAATTGCCAGGGTAGCAGGTAGCACCCACTTACAACTCTGCCTGTCTAGAAGACTGTACCCCATCCTATCAGATACAGCCCTGACCTTGTGGTCCACACATTCATCACCTTCAGACTTGAATACTGTAATGCATTGTATGTAGAAACTGAGCTGTGTGCTCCAAAAATCCCTCCATTTGGTACAAAATGCAGCGGGCAGGCTGCTAAGCAACACAGGTTGCCATGAGCACATCATCCTGACGCTGTGCACTCTGCACTAGCTCCCCATTGATTACAGAGTCCAGTTCAAGGCTTTTTGTTCTGAGTTTTCAAAGCCCTTTGTGGAATTGGTTCTAGCTACCTAAATAAAACACCCTTCCCTGTTCTGTGACCATGGCCTCCCATGCCAGCTATGGTCCTTAGGAACAATTAAATTGTTGGCCAGTAGACAGAGCTTTGACAGGAACTGGATCTAGACAATGGAAATGGAACTCACTGCCGCAAGAAATAAGAATGGCCACAAATCTTACTGTGAATAGCCATAAATGCAAAGCTAATTTCTTTGACCTATCTTTACAATAAGAACAACCCCTAATACACTCACACCCCATAATTCTATTCAAGCATTATATTCCTACCTGCTGGGAATAAAAATAGGACAGTTGTTGTTGTTTTAATATTTGAGCAGTTGTCAGATATTATGATGCCCATGTAAGAAGCTAGATAGGAATCATATCCCTTGGAGAGGGGGAGGCAGGCCACAAAACAGGGGGACAAGGGCATGGAGGAGGAACCAGGGAAGGTGGGGAAAGCTTCTGGATCCACTCTGACTCCCTGGTGCTAATGTGTTCTTGTGGGCAAAGGCCTGAGCAGATTCTTGAAAACCACCTTCCCTCCCTGTTCCTGCAGTGATCCCTAATACGGCTGACCATAGGAGCAACTCCAGCTCATTGGCCCAAGCTTTGTGTTTCTGCTCTTACAGCACACTTTTCAGCTGAGAAAACACATGCATTGAGTCCATAGTGCCACCAGTGGACACCCCACATCCCAAGAAACGTGTAGACTTCAATAACCTTAATAGTGATTTATCTCTCCTCCCCCCAGTCATTCTTTCTTTGGTTATCAGCAATTCCACAGTATATTTCCAGAGACACCTGTTATTGATTTAACAGTGGAGTTGATCAGCTGTAGATTTTCCCACTATTAACAGAAGTTTTTAGCTATTGAAAAATGTGTTAGAGGCATCTGCTCTTATAGCTGCATTTGTTATTTTCAAAACTCTCAGCATAACTGTGGCATAAATCTTTTTTTACTCCCTCCCCCTCTTTCTTACAGTTTTGATGTAGACAATGGCACATCATCGGGACGGAGTCCCTTGGATCCCATGACGAGCCCTGGGTCAGGACTAATTCTCCAGGCTAACTTCGTCCATAGTCAACGTAGAGAGTCCTTCCTCTACCGGTCAGACAGTGACTATGACCTCTCTCCAAAGTCCATGTCCAGGAACTCTTCCATTGCCAGCGACATGTAAGTGTTTAAAAAAGAAAAAAAGTTGACCTCCCACATTTTAGCTATCATTTCATCCTATGTTAATCACAAGCCCAGGCAAAATGGTCTGTTACATTTTTGGTACCATAAATCAGCTCCTTCAGAAATCAAAGACAACAATCACAAATGCTGCTGAATTCACTACTAAGAGTTTTTTAAATCAACCTTACCTTACACATACATACTATTTTTATGCACTTAATTAGTTTTGTCAATCCAATTTCAAAATAACCAATAAATATGTCAAAACAGCCCATGGAATTCACTCAGTTTCTGAATGTTACCTTAGTGATATTTTTAAGGAATGCATTTGACTTATTTTAATCAGTGAGGCTGTTAATATATATATTTTTTGGCAAGGTGTGCAACAATTATCCTATGTAGCCTGTTGTAAACCCTGTGTACCATGGTTGCCTGTGGTTGTGGACAAAAGAAGTAAGGAACTGGAGAATGTATTTACTTTTCCAGCATTTCCACAAGAACAATTTCACACAAGGTTAACCATGTAGCAGCTAAATTGTGATAAGCTGCCCTTTTCTGAAAACGTTTATACTTTGTTCCTAAAAGTACACTGCTTTGGTAGTCCAGCATGGTGGTGAGAGGGATGAACAGCTTGTAAGGAGGTATCCTCACCCTGTTACAATCCAATCTATTCCCAAGACTCAAAATAAATAAATACATTTTAAAATTGCCCTTTTGAAGTATTTTTGAGGCTCTGACAGGAATTATTTAGCAGATTCCAGGGATGGGATGACTCCATCAGAGGCAGAAAAAGACTTCAACTTCCTTTCAGTTTGCTGACAAAACTTTAACAAGGGTCTCTTGAGGGGCTCCTCCAGCTTCTCACTGCTTTTTACTATTCTTCTGTTTTATGTACTTTCTGCCAGACGGGCTAATCTTGCAAACACATACCAAAACTAATGTTACTCATATGAGTAGTCCCAAGTCAAATGCAAATCTATTTTATTTATAAGGCGCTAAAAACACATGTAATTCTCTAACCTCTACTAATTTTTAAACTGCTAAAAATGAATAATAGCCTAATGATTTTTAAATTTTTAAATCTGCTCCAACTTTTCTTGCTGAGTATGTGTTTAGGGTTGAATTGTAAACCCCTAAAGTAGACAGACATGCTTGCAAAGGTCCCCTACTGAACAAGGAAATCAGGAGTATAGAAACATCAGATCTTGATGTAAGTGCTAAGATTTATTTTATAAAAAAGGAATAAAAAATCATTGAACATCATACTTTTTTAAAAAGTCACTCTTTGGGATGTGTGAATTCTCACTCATTATTGTGAAATGTATTTTCCTCTAGTATTCCAATCCTTAGGAATTTGGAACTGCTATTTGCAGCCTATATATCTTTTTATAGATGTTAATTTGTCTACCCAAGATAGCTCTTTTCCCATTTGAGTGCCATTTGAGGTGACATTCATCCCTGTGCCAAGAAGCAGCACAATGCCTATGCACCACGTAAGCCCTGTTGATTTAACACTTCCTAGGCCTAGTGCCACCTCTTTGCCCCCTTTCACCCTGTGTGAACAATATGGGTGAGACTAAAGATGAGTGAGACAAAAATGGTCTTGTCTTGCCTAAAAAGAATGTAAAAACACATTGTAATCACAGACAGTCAGTCTGATCCAGAGTCCTTACTTCCATGAGGCCAAACTTTTTGTGTCATCTCTTGTGACAATCCTACTTGAAAATCCTACTTTCCCAGTCTAAGGTACAACACTGATCCCCAACCTGCTAGTAGATGAGTTATTTCAGTTAACAATTTCAATTACTGCTCCTCCCATAAGCCAGTTTGGCATTTCCTTGATTTCCTAGTGAGATTTCAACACAGAGCAATAACTTGGATGAATGATTTAACTATTGAAACACCGAGGACATTCTTTTCTTTTTATATTTATAATCAGTGTTCCTTTGAAACAACATTAAACACGTAAGAACAGTTGGCTAATCAGAACTCACAAGTGGGTAAACATTCCAGTGCTCCCCATCAGACCAGAGATTCTGCCATTGTGCAATGGAGCAGCTGTTACACGTCCCTGCTCACTATGCAGGATGGAGGGGAGCATGAAATACAAAGAGCAGACCTTCTTACCTCTGGAGAGTCAAATACCCCTCTTTGACCAAGCATTTTCTTCAGACTGCCATTACTGGAATGTCCTGACATCATAAGTGTCTTCATCTGCTGTTCATTCAGACACTGAGGTGACAGAGGCTGGAAGCAGTCTGCACTCCACCCAGAAACAGAGATCTTCACACCTTCGGGTTAGGAGGCAACACATTTCTCGCACATATCCTAGTCATCTCAGTATCCAAATAAGAGATTGAGCCATCTATCTGATTGGTCAGCATTTCTGAAAAGCTGCTACTCAAAGCAGAAAGCAAAGGTCATATCACAATAAAATATACAACCAACATAATTTCCACAGAATCCTAAAGTACGCCTTGTTACAGGCAGAATTCTTAAAAATTAATTGTAATTGTGCAAAAAAATGAAGTGTACATAAATGTAAGGAAGGGGTGAGCAGAACTGAAAAGTTATACCTAGTCATTTTATACTAATGCTATGTGAAAAATTTAATGGGATACATTGTTGGGATACAATAAGATGTATATGGCTCATCTGAGCACACATTATCATATATCTGAGTTGCATATTTATCATTAAACCTTAGTAAACATGTTTCTGTTAAGTTTAATTAAATCAAAAAATTTGAATTTAAGAAGGAAATGAAAAAAGAAAAAGAAACAAAAACAAGGAAAAGAGAAAGAAAGACAGTAAAGAAAAAAACCCAAATATTTAAAGATCATTTACATTCATTAGTTATCCATTCATGATATCTTTGTTATGATCCCTCAGTATTACCTGTTCACCTCAGGACAACAAATATAGCAGCACTTCACAGACAAAAATAAAAACAAGAAAAATAATGAGGAAAAATGGATTGAGTTCCTGCTTAATTTTAACAGATGAATATTCTTCAGGGCAGCATGCACACATAAAGTTTACATTAACACAGGTATAAAATGTTGACCATACAACAACAAAAAAGTCCAGATATTTATCATTCAGAGTTACAGCGTGAGCAATGTGTAGCCCAGCAGTTAACATTAACACAACAGTGATCTTTGACAAACAAGATCACAAATCTTATTTTCAGGTCCGTGGTGGTTGTGACTGTAAAGGCTGCACAGCATTTTGGTTATTTAGTCAAAGGTGGGGGGAGGTCTAAGAAGACCTGGCACAGGATTCCAGAAGTGCTTTAAAACAAGTAAATATGAGTCAGGAAATAATAGTAATAGCAGGAGTATAATGATATATCCAACCTTATTTTTAATCCTCTTTGTTCTGCAAAATGATGCCAATTATTATGTTTATTACCAAGCTTTTCTTGCAAGTAGTCATAAACCCAGTTGGTCTCTTGATTTTAAATCAGGATCACTGGCAAGTCTCTTCTTAGTCAATAATTGTGAGATGTTGCTGAATTAATGTGAGCTTCCATACTGTGCTGTGATTCTTACCATTTTCTGAGCCCCCAAACAAATTACAGATGAAGACCTTCATGGCAAAGCTTACTTGCTTGGATGCTTTTTGTACACTGATTATCCAGTCAAAGAACATAGCAAATTCCACGTGGAATTCCAAATTGCAATTTGCTTTTTGGTGACATTCAGTGTGTTGCCTTTTGATCTGTGAAGCTTAGATACCTCTGAGACCATTTTCATCCTATGGACCCTCCTAACAGTTGAGAACAAACTTGGGCATTTTCCTCAGTTTCCCTAGATGTTAATGGTTAGGGTCAAGGCAGGGTTACATTCAGAAGGATTCTGGCAAAATCAGTTGTTTTATGAGTCTTCAAGATGAACAGCTCTAGCTCAAGGAATATGGAGGCCCTGACAAGCCTGTAAGCTCCTTTCGGCAAAGGGCATTTTTTTCTTTCTTCCTTAAAAGAAAAAGGTAAAGGGGAAAAAGATGGATTAGAGGAGGAAAAAATGCAAACTTCTAACACTAGCATCATAAAAGTCAAGAAATCAAGCATGCAAAGTCTGGAAATTCCAAAAGTTAAGGTAACAGTTGTTACCATATTATTTACTTTGCCATTTTGCAATTTGTTTATATTCTTGAGTTTTGGTTAAATAGAAACATTAATGTTTCTTTCTGTGTTGTTAATGCATATCACAAAATATATACACCTCTACCCCGATATAACGCTGTCCTCAGGAGCCAAAAAATCTTACTGCGTTATAGGTGAAACCACATTATATCGAACTTGCTTTGATCCACCAGAGTGCGCAGCCCCGCCTCCCCAGAGCGCTGCTTTACCACGTTATATCCGAATTTGTGTTATATCGGGGTAGAGGTGTAGGATATGCAGTTTAACTGGATTAATATTATAGGAGAAAATTCCAGAAACTCCGACTCTTGAGTGCCGATTTCTCAACCTCAACAGTGCATTAACTCTACCTTTACGTAATTCACAAAATGTACATATGTACTTGGAGGGAAATAATATATTGACTTTAAAAAAATTAGAGATGTCTGATTTCCATTACACATCAACATAAATTGGGGTTTTTAAGATAGCACTTTGGATTTCAGGGGTCGCAGGCGACAGAAAAAGCAGTAAAGAAATATTAAAGTGAAACACAAATGTGTAGTGTTATGAGTAAATACAGTCAGTAGATGGCAGTATTGATGTATTAAATTCATGATCTTATTATTTAATTAATTATTTTGGATTATCGCAGTGGCTAGGAGCCCCAATCATGGACCAGGACCCATTGTGCTAGACCCTGTAAAAACACGGAACAAAAAGATGTTCCTTCTCCCAAAGAGCTTACAAGACATACAGATAAGAGACAACATATAAGACAGCAGACAACAGATGGATACAGACAGATAGATGAGGGAGTACAAGGAAACAATGAGATATTATTGGTCAGCATGATGGGCAATGATTTCAG